AGTTTTAGCATAGGCCTCAGAACACCATTGCAACTCTGCAGGTTCTGGCTATAAGGTTCAGATGACCCAGCTTAGCATCTGCCAGGGGCCTGTGTCTTCAGCAACACTATGTCAAACTCATACATCACAACATGGAACAGGACCACATTTGTTGGGAGTAGGATAGAATGTCTACAGATATCAATATAGAATGGGAAAATATTTTCAAACTATTTAACAAGACAATAGTATCTATAAATTGCAAAGAACTCAAATAAGTCAACAGCAAAAATTAAATATCATGATTTAAAATAGGCAGTAGAACTAAATAGCATTTCTTTTTTGTTGTTGTTGTTGGTCATGGGGCTTGAACTCTGGGCCTGGGTGCTGTCCCTCAGCTCTTCATCTCAACGCTAGTGCTCTACCACTTGAGCCACAGCACCACTTTCGGTTTTCTGAGTGGTTTATTGGAAATAAGAGTCTCCCGGTCTTTCCTGCCTGGGCTGGCTTTGAACCGTGATCCTCAGATCTCAGCTTCCTGAGTATCTAGGATTACAGGCGTGAGCCACCGGCACCTGGCCCCTAAATAGCATTTCTTTTATAAAAGATATACAAATGGCCATCAGGTATATGAAAAACATCTCAGCATCACTAATCACCAAGAAAAGCACCCTCAAATAACAAAAAGAGATTATCTTATACCAGTAAAAAAAATTCATACACAAAAGACAAAAGCTAACAGGTTCTGACAAAGATGCGGAGGAAATTCAGCCCTTTCACACTGTCAGTTGGAATACAAACTGGTATAGCTATTGTAGGGAACAGTATGGGAGTACTTCAAAAAATTAAAAATAAAATAACCTTATGATGAAGCAATCCCAATATTGGTATATGTCCAAAGGAAATGAAATCAAACACCTGCACTTCCATTTTTATTACAGCACTATTCAAGATAAACAAGGAATGGAAACAACCTAAATGTCCACCAACTTACAATTAGATAAATAAAATATAGTACATGCACACAGAGGAATACTCTTCTTCTATGCAGAAGAGTGAAATCCTGTGAATGAAACTGTGATAACAGGGATGGAACTGGAGAAAGACAGGTAAGGCATGGTCTCAGCTGTATGTGGAATCTAAAATAGACAATCCTCAGACAAGTAGGGAGAACAGTGGTTATTGCTTGTGTTAGTTGCATGTTCCTTTTTATTGTTTAGTTGTGTTCAAATGTATCACCATGTAAGATTTCTTTATCCATTTACTTGGTAGATATTTAGATTTTCTTACTTTGAGGAAATCATAGATGATATTGCCATGAACATTTCTGTGTCAATATTTGTGATGGGAAAATTCTTAACAGTAGAATTTCTAGGAAATATGGTAAGTGTAGGTTGAGCTTTTATCACATTTTCATAAGTTAGTTGTATAATGAGGTTAAATTCTGACCTGTCCATTCGCTCTCCTTCATGCCCTCTTCCATCCCCAAGCCAATCTCAGCAAGCTTCATTGCTCCATTTTCACACATGTACATAAAGTATCTTGATGATATTCATCCTTCTTCACCCTTTCCATTTTCCCTTCTTCCTCCCACTAGTGTTCACATCCTGAACAAGTCCACTTCTTTATTCCTGTCATTTATTTTTGTCAGCGTGTGTTAGTGGATCACAGGGATCTCACTGTGGTATTTCATACAAGCATACCCAGAAGTTTAATCAGATAAAGCTGAACTTTTAAAGAAATTGTCCCAAAGTTTTCAAAGTGGTTGAACTTCTCACTAGCGATGAATGTGAGTTGTAGTTGTTCTGTATCCTCAAAAGTACTTTATGTCACCAGGCACTGGTGGTTCATTCCTGTATTCATAGCTACTCGGGAGGCTGTGATCTGAAGAACACAGTTCAAAGCCAGACCTTGTAGGAAAGTCCTTGAGACTTTTATTTCTAATCAACCACTAAAAGAAACCCAGAAGTTGAGCTGAGGCTCAAGTGGAAGAGTACTAGTGTTGAGCAAAAAAAGCTCAGGCACAGTACCCAGATCCTGAGTCTAAGCCCCAGGACCAACAAAAAAAGAATTTGAGATTATCAGATTGTATAACTGTAACTATTTTAATGAGCTAATTGGCAATTTGTACATGTTTTTGATAATTGCAATCTTCTGATTTTTGTTACATTGTTCTTTTGTGTCTTAATAGTTCTTTTTATATGTTACGATATGTATCATAACCCTTTGTCAGGTGTATATATTATGAATATTTTCTAGTGTCCTACTTTTATTGGAAGGATTGGGTCTCACGGATGAGAATCGCCTCAAATTTCAGGGCTCAAGTTGTTCTCCTGTCCAGCTTTCCAAGTAGTATTGACTACATGACATGAAATCCTCTGTCTTTCTAATATATATATATATATATATATGTAATTTTTATATATGGAATTTTTTGTGTGCTGGTCCTAAGGCTTGAGCTGAAGGCTAGCATTTTACCATTTGAGACACAGCTCTACTTACAGCTTTTTTTGTGTGTGGTGCTTAATTGCAGATAAGAATTTCATAGATTTTCCTGCTTGGGCTGACTTTGAACCACAGTCCTCAGAGCTGAGCCTCCTTAGTGGTCAGGGTTACAGGTGTGAGCTACTGGCACCTGGCTCTTAACCAAATTTTTAAAGGGCAGTTTAAAATTTATTCTTTTTTTTTTACTTTTTATTATGAAAATACTGTACAGAGGGGTAAAATTTATTCTTATAAGACCCAATTTTACATTTGTTCTTTTGTGAGCCTTTTTTGTATTGTAAGGAATCTTTGTGCTCCCTAAGATAGTAGGTTTTGCTTTCTCTATGTTTTATTCTAGAAATTTTAGAATTTGCGATTTTATATTTAGGACTATGATCCCAAAGGCAAGGTTATTTTTATTACCATGTATAATTTCCAATTGTTTCAGTGTGATTTGTTATGAAGAGAATACTTTTCCCATTGGTTATCTTGGCATCATTTAAAAATTAATTTAACTAGGGCTGGGAAGGTGGCTCAGTGGTAGAGCGCTTGCCTTGCATGCATGAGGACCTGGGTTCGATTCCCCAGCACCACATAAGCAAAAAGAAAAAAAGCCAGAAGTGGCACTGTGGCTCAAGTAGTAGAGCGCTAGCCTTGAGCTGAAGAGCTGAGGGATAGCACCCAGGCCCAGAGTTCAGGCCCCACGACCGGACCCCCCCAAAAATTAATTTAAATAGATAGATAGATAGATAGATAGATAGATAGATAGATAGATAGATAGATAGATAGATAGATAGATAGATAGATGTCGACTTCTAGATTCTATACTGGCCAGGCACCAATGGCTCAGACATGTAATCTTAGCTACTGAAGAGTCTGAGATCTGATGTCGACTTCTAGATTCTATACTGGCCAGGCACCAATGGCTCAGACATGTAATCTTAGCTACTGAGGAGTCTGAGATCTGAGAATCATGGTTCAAAGCAAGTCTGGAGCAGAAAACTCCATGAAATTCCTATCTCCTTTTTACCAACAAAAAGCTGGAAGTGAAGCTGTGCTCAAGTGGTTAGAAGGCCAGCTGTAAGTGGCAAAAGCCAGGTGAGAGCGCTAAGTCCTGAGTTCAAGTTCCCCTACCAGCACACACACACACACACACACACACACACACACACACACACACACACAGTGTCAGAGTTTATTCTGTGCTACTGATCATTTATAACTTATCTATCATAACATCTTGTCTTGAAATATAATTTAATCCTCAAGGTTTGTAGAGTTTTCTTTTTTGTATTCTGTGTCCTTGGTTTTGTCGATGTAAGTCTGTCCATTTTTGCAAAGATGTCTGCTGAGATTTTGATCATACATTATTTATAGGTTAATTTGGAATACTTACCTTAGAGAGTATTATGGATATTTTTATAGTAATTTCAGTCTTAATTTCTTTCAGCAGTTTTACAGTTTTTGTGTACAGCTATTCTAAGTGTATACATTTTATTTCTAAGTATTTCACGTTTTTGAAGGCATAATATGTATGTGATAAGCTATAAAAGTATAAGTGATACTTTTCAATTTACTGTCATTTCTAGCATATAAGAATACAATTGTTTTGTATATGTGTCATATAAATGCAACCTTCTAACATTCAACTAATAGTCCTATTAGTTTTATTGTCCAATAAGTTTATTGTCAATTCCTTAGGGTTTTCTAAATACATGATAATTTAATTTGCAAATACAGACATACTTATTGCCATTTTAACCAGAAATTTGTGAGGGAGTTTGTTTTTCCATCTGAAAAATCTGACAAGGTTTTGTTGGACTACATTCTTTGGCTCACCTCCTAGAAGAGTATCACATGTCTAGGGGCCTCTCACAAGAGGAGCCATCAGCTGTCTTGCTTTTTTCCAAGTTCTAAAAAAGCAGCTGCCTGTAGAGTCTATATTTATATAATGACAGCAGAAAAGACAGATGGTTGGGATTTTATTCCAACTTTAATCCTGTTCTTCAAATAAAAATAACTATTTTGTTCTTTTCTTAAGAAATATCCTTTTTGTTTCATGCAAAAATAAAAATAGAGGGAAGCAACAAGAATGAGAAAAATGCACTCAGACCCTTTTCTTAGTGCACATCTCTCATACGTTTTATGGAGTGGAAAATGGAGAGCTTTCGTTGCTGAGAGGACAGCAAGAGGAATAGGTTGTATCCTAGGAGCAGAGAAGGAATAAGCAATTGCTCACAGAAGAGAGAATGATCAACAGCCCTCTGAGCAGATACTGCCCCTCCCTGGCCAGCAGAGAAAGGCCAGGAATACACAAAGAAGCAGAGCTACAGGTCCCAGCCCTCAGACAGACACTGACCAGGACTTGGTGCAATGGGCCAGGCAGTCCAGTCTCTCCGCCCTGCCCGCTCCCCCTAACCCCCACCTTCCCCCCGCCCTCGCTTGGGGCGGCTGGAGAAGGCAGGATGCGGAGGCGGAGCCTCTGGCTGGGATGCAGGCCCCACGTGACCGCTCTGCACGAACGCGCGCATTCGGCTGCAACGCCAGCCGCGACTCGCATTGGCTCAGCCTCTCGCTCTTTAGCGGTGGTACCTGCTCCGAGGGTCCCGAGGACGCGCAAGTCATAGAGTCCCGGAGGCGGAGGAGAGAAGGTGAGGGATTCGGCGGGGACCCCGGGGGTGGGATGGAAGGTGAGAACGGACCCCGCCTGCAGACCCCCATGTCAGGTCCTGCCGCTTCTGGCGGAGAAACAGCGGGTAAGGCTGCAGCCCGCGTGTCCTGGCGCGGCCGTTGGCCGGAGCAGACGGTGGTGGGCCCGGACTATGCGGATTTGCGGTCCTGAGGCTGCGATCCTGTGAAGACACCTGCCTGCGCCATGAACGCCAGCTTTTCCCACGGCCCCGCCCCGCCCCCTCCTGGTCTTCTTGGTGCAGAAAATGGTGGTCAGCGCGGAGGGTGGGGGCCAGGCGGGGGAGGTGGAGAAGGGGCCTGGATGAGGGCGAGGGTAGGCAGACCAGGAGTGAAGGGTTGCAGCTCCTCGGGCTACTTTACACCATCTGGCTCTATGCAGGTCTGCAGGGCAGTTTGGCGAAGCATCTCGCAGCGATAATCCAGAGGAGGAGGAAACAGCAAGGATAGGCCCAGGTCGGTGCGAAGGGCTCTTCTGGCAAGGAGGGGGGCGGGGGAGACGGCGGCAGGAGAGGAAAGGAACATGTAGCGAATTCTCTCCTGAGGTCATCCCCACCCCCAATTCCAGCACATCCTTCTAGCTCATCCCCGTCCTCCATTTTGATTCCTGCAGAGGCCTGGAAATGGATCCGCAGGGAAAATGGTGGGCTTTCGGAAGGGAGGGGCATGGTCTGGGGGCCGTCTAGAGGATGCTAAGGGACTCAGATGTGAGAATAAAATTTACCAAAGGCCATTGAAATCCAGTCGTCTGAATGTTGAAAGGTGCATAGTAGGGCCCCTGTCCTCGGTGCTGATCTACCCACTAAGAATTTAGATCCTTTTCTTGTCCCTTTTCTCCTAGGAGCAATGGAGTCCAAACAGGAAAAACCAATACAGAACCTCAATGTGGAAAATACTCACCAGGAAAATGAAAACAAGGAAGAAAAGGAGCAAGTTGCTACTAAAAAGGAGCCCTTGGCTCAGCCTTCAGAAGCCGGGGTTCCTAGAGGGAATCGCAGGCGATTCCGTGTTAGGCAGCCCGTCCTGCACTATAGATGGGATCTGATGCATAGGCTTGGAGAGCCCCAGGCAAGGATGAGAGAAGAGAACATGGAAAGGTTTGGGGAGGAGGTGAGACAGCTCATGGAAAAGCTGAGGGAGAAGCAGTTGAGCCATAGTCTGCGGGCAGTTAGCACCGACCCCCCCCACCATGACCACCATGATGAGTTTTGCCTTATGCCCTAAATCCTGAATCCTGATGTGTTCCCTCAAGTTAATTGCGAGAGACCCCTGCTTCCTAAAACTACATGTTTGTGATGTACTCTTGTAAATCTTTTGATGTTCCTTGTGGATCTCCTATTACCAGCTTCTAATTGAATGTTGTGTTTTGACCCCGTCTGTAAGAATTTTGTTAGCAGGAGAATTTATCTATTGCATGGAGAGATGCTCATCATATATTGTGAAGTTAATAAAGCAATTAAAAAAGCAATCTGTACTCTTTTTTACTTAAAACCTTTTATTTATATACAAATACAAGAATATAAATATGAAAGCAAATAGTGTCAATCTCTGTGGTGGAATTAATAGATTTTTGTTTTCTTGTTGATAAATTTTCATTTTTCAAAACAGTACAGGAGAGGGCAGAAAATAGAGAGAGTAATTTGGACTAATACAGTCATAATATTGAATACACATATGTGAAATAGAGTGAGGAAAGGAAACAAGTTGGAGATGGGGAGAATGATAAAAAGATGACTGATCAAGAGGCTTTGCACATATAATGGACATATTAAATTGAAACCACCATATACAACTACTTGAAGATAATAAAAAATAAAATAAGATGATTAGAGGATACCTTGTAAGAAGTCTCTAGACCTAAAAAAATACTATGAAATACATATTAAAAGAATTGAGCCACTTTATTAAAGAAATTGTCAGCATTTACTAAAATTGTGACAGAATTTCAATATTAGTTTACCTCTGAGCTGTTTAGAAACTATACATGTCTTTGAAGATCATGATGCTCACCCATAAGGTAAAATAATCACCTCCCAAGGCAGCTGTATGAACCAGATAGTTTAGAGCTTTCTCAACTTTTCATAATCCACCCATTTATAAGTTCATTTCACTCAAGGGATGTTCCTAAGGTGAGCCTTTTTATGTAATCAAGTACTGTGGGATAAAGGGTAAGTACTTCACTTTTTTGCTGTTGTGTCCCATTCATTTCCTCTCATGGGTGTTGTTCTATACTAGGTCTTGCTTCTTATACTGGCCTAGGACCACTATAAATGATTACAACTCTTCAAGGTGAGAAAATTTCACTGATTTCTTTGAATGTAATGTTCTTTTGATTTGGTGCTTTTTGAGTATGTTTGTGTGATCATGGAGTTTGAATTCAAGGCCTCACACAGGTACTCTGCCACTTAAGCCACACACTTAGCCCCCTCACTGATTTTTTTAGGGGGAAAATCCAATGAATACTCACTGTACTATAAAAGATTGTTTCTCTGCTCAGCAATTTGGAAGGATTTTATCTAGTTCTTTCCTTAAGGGTAGTTTTCTTCCAGGAAACCTCTTGACCATTTCAGCAGAGTATATATGATAAATGAGGGAACAGCTTCTTTTGTGTGCTGTCCTGGGACCTGAACTCAGGACCTGGTAGCTATGCCTTAGCTTTATTTCCTCAAGGCTAGTGCTCTACCACTTGGGCCACAGGTCCACTTCTGGCTTTTTGGTACTTTATTGAAGGTAAGACTCTCATGGACTTTCTTGCTCAGGCTGGCTTTGAACTATGATCCTCAAATCTCAGTCTGAGTATCTAGGAATAGAGGTGTGAACTTCTGCCTAGCAGTTTCCTTTTAATCTGAGTCAGTCAATTCTCATACCAGCCCACTTCCACCTGAAACCTATGAATGTAACATTTTTATTATAGATTCAGTTGAAACACCAGGAGATCAAGTCAGTGTATGCGTGCTACTTAAATATAGGGATCTTTATAAAGCTCTCATGAGGAGACTATTGGAGTTATATTCTAATAGATCTTGGGACACAATGACCATCTTAGAGTTTACTTATCGGGTGAAGAAAACCCATATTTTATGTATGAAGAGAGGTTTTTTTTTTTGCAGCACTGAAAATTGAATCCAATGCTCTATTCTATCATCCCACTCCTTTGGTTTTATTTTGGTTTTCAGATAGGATCTCAATAACTGTTTAGGTTGGCCTTGTATTCATAATCTTCCTCCTCTCAAGTCCTTAGGATTATAGTCATATCTTGCTTTTTTGGTGATGCAAGAAATATAGCACACAATCACATGCACACTCAGCCTAAGTAATTCCTCCTCTTTCAGGCCTTGAAGATATAAGCCACAATGATGCAAAGCAGAAGTTTATAGAAAGGCTAGAGCTTCAAAAGGCAGAGAAAGTTATAATTAAAGAATTTTTACTATTGATTGTCAGGGTTAGCTCAAGTTTCATTGGAATACAAAAGAATTCTGCCTGTATCTCATAGAAGGTAGTCAGCAATTCCTTCACCAGGAGAAATGAAGCTCATGTGTCAACTGATAGCATGCCCATGACAGAAGATGATTATATATATGTATGTATGTATATATATATATATATATATGAAAATGTACAACCTTTTTATGTTCAGACAAATCCAGGTTTACCCCAGAAAAGGTCAAGTTTAAGATTCTAGTTTAGGAAAAAAGACTCTGCTAAACAGTTCCCCTTAGCTTTTAATGGTGCTTAGTTTTAAAGGGGCATCTAAATGAATACCACATGAGTGGTCAAGCTCCGTGTAAAATACTCAGGCAATAATCATCAGAAAGTAAGCAAAAGACAATAATAAAACAGGCATAAGTTTTCATTGAGATAGCAACCATATCGAAGGATCTGTATGGATTTGTCTATATATAATTTCTTTATGTTATGTGGTGAGCTTCCCTCTTTTCCTTTAATGTGCCAATTCTTCACAAAAGTAGTAGATAAATTCATTCCATAATATGCTAAAGATTCAGGAAAAATTAAGGCAGAGAGATTAGGGATATACCCTAGTTCACAAAAAGAAAAAAAGTTTACAAAAAGAGGTTTGAGTTATAGATGTGAATTTGGCCACTGACATTAAGCGCATGATGCACGCCCAGTAAACACTTGTAGAATGAATAAAAGAAACTGTACAAGAGAAATAACACATGTAATGGTATTCCAGAAATGATAACTAGCATCCATTTTGGATCTTTGTAGATTTGTAAAAATCTAACAAAATTGAAATAATACAGATAGTATCTCACGTTTTAAAACAATTACCTTTTCCTTGCAAATAAGGGAAATCATAGAACCTATGTTTCTTTGGACCTGGTTTACTACACTTAATATATTTTTTCCCAAGTCTTTCCATTTCCTAACAAATGGGGACATGTCATTCTTTCTGATGGAGGCATAGAATTCAT